TTGTGTTGCTCAGTCTTTAGTTTTCTATGTTGTGGCTTATGTATTATAATTGTTTGTCTTTTCGTCGTTTTTCTTTTTTAGCCATGGCATTGTCAGTTTTATTTTCGACTTATGAGTTTGAATGTCCTTACTTTAGGAATAAGTCATGCATCCTTGCAAGACTGATTAAACTGGAAACATTTAGAGACCATTTACACAGATCTCGAAGAGGATACTGAAGCATCATGTATCCTGACAATTGCGTATACCAAAAATAAGAAAGTACAAATAATTTCTTCATTTTGGGAATGCGTTTAACCATGTTTAATCGATTCTATTCGGAAAAGTTTTAGTTAGATGTTGTACTTGTAACACATTGAATCACCTTCTTTCCCTGATATATTTTCTCTTGATCAATACTTATATTAAAGCAATGATTGTCATCAACCTTTCATTGTTAAAGCACCTTAGATATATATATATATATATATATATCCTGCAATCGACCTATCTACTATACAAATACAGGTGTACAGATAAAACGAAGCGATAAACGTATACTAGATGTTCATGGTCTCCTGATATCCTGCTTCTGTTGCGAGCGTACGGTTACGTTCAGATTACTGTTTACATCACAGTTCAATTTGGGGTCCTCATTGCGGTCCGCATTTAAAACATGTCGATTTTATTCAAAAACAAATTCAACGATTGGGATGGGGGAAATGTAAAAAAATGTTTGCAGGATAAAGACAATAATTTTTGTAGTTGTACTCGGCTCGAAACAGGAGTAATAGCTCGCTGAAGCTCGCATAACACCTGTTTCTAAGCCTCGTACAAATACAGCTGATATTTAAAGACACTAAACAGTTATTGTCTATATATATGTGTGTGTGAAAGGGGTCTCTTCGGGTATAAATAACAAAGTAGACTTTCTAGAGTTGGGATGGTTTATTACCAGAGAATGTAAACTCTGAAATATCAAAATTATCAACATTAATAATAGTTCAATATAACATAGAATATCTATGGAAAAATTCAACGTAACCGCTAAGAACCAATCAAAACAACAGATCAATTTCAACCACCATGAATATGCATGAGTAACATTATTTTTTTGATCTTTTGGAAAATGTTGTGTGTGCTGTATTTAGACCCCTCTACCAAGAAATTTGTTTTGCATGCACACGTATAAAAATTGCGGTTTTTATCCAACGAATAGAATGAATTGTTAAGGAATAAAATGGTAACGTCCGGTTTAGTACATAATTATGTAAGCATATTTAATAGTATGTGTATATGTAGGTATGTTTATTACTATGCATTTGAAATTTTTGACTATCAATCATAATATGTTGTATTTCATATATCCTCCCGAACGATAATTGGTGATTAATCATTTGGAACAAATTTTATGGCGGAATAATTTATATATATTAGAATCATTTACATAGTTTTCAAGTAAAAAGTAGTCTATAAAGTATTACTGTTAAACTTAGGTTTTATATGCAAAGGAATTTACTAGGAAATACTTTGATTTTATATACTAAAGGTATGCATTTTGATTAAATATCTTAATATTTATCTCGAAATAAGTTAGGCTTAAAGTGCTAAATCTTAAACTCAATTAGTATGTGTTCCTGTTCAAAGTCTTTATATAAGTATTAACTGTATCTCGAATTTTGGTAGATTTCTATAAACGCTAAAAGTACTCTAACATTTACACTTTTAAAAAGTATGTTTGCCTATTGAAGGTAATACTATTATAAGTATAATAAGTACTCTTTGTATATATTTTTTGTCAGGTACCTATACGAATAAGTGTTTTTGATAACAACAATTAAAAATCAAAATTGAGAGAGGGCATATTAAACGTCAACATTTGATTTATCTGACGGGCTTACTAATTTATCTATTCACTTGACATACTTTATATGGCGTCGTCTGATAAAGTGTTTTAATTTTTTGGTTGTCGCTCCTCAACGTCCAGTGGCAAATATGTCATGCATTAAATCATTAATACAATGTGTTTATGTTCTGCAAAGTTCATCTGCGACGAAGAGTTGGAAACATAGACTGCTACTTGGAATAGCTGGTGTGTTAGAAAGGTGCAAAATTATGCCATACAATCTGCCATATATAGAAAACTCACATAACTGTTGCACGGGTTCTTTCACGTGTAACGAGCCAAGTACTCGCCCTTCAGGAAGCATTGTATAGAACCTTCCGATCAGATGTGTTTGCGTTTTTATAAATACCGCACAGTCTTCTCCTGTCAGATACTTCTGCTTATGCCACATAATAGCCACAATCAGCAAACTAATCTCACAATCAACAAACTGATTATACTGTCATGGATTTTGTGAGCATACAGTCAAGTGAAATCTCTCTGTTGCATAGGTTCTACTGCCGACCATTTTTCAAAACATTGTCAGCCCTTATGGTCAAGTGGCGTTTAGATTCTCTGCATTTCTGCTTAAACACGTCGACCTTTATCTTTTGAGTCAAGATGATGATATACAATTATAGCCTTTGTAGGAGGTCGATACAAGGATATATTGACCTGAAAGAAGTATATTGACTGAGGACGAAGTCCGAGGTCGATATACTTCTTTGGGTCGATATATCCTGTATTGACCTCATAAATAGGCTATAATTGTTATATTATTAATTTCCGACCATATTTGTATCAAAATCGTCATTTGATTTTGTTGTAATTCTATAGATATCATATTGTCTTCTAGACAATAACAACAGATTAGTTGTTATTTCATTTACTTTTTTGATGTTTTTTTTTACATGTTATGTATTTGAAGATTTTTTTTCTTCAAATAATCGATCATAGATATTTTTTTTATAAAACTTTTAACAATATCATGAAATTCATAACATGACGTCACAAAGTATATCGGTTTTTAGATATTCTAAAAATAACCGTGCAATATGCTTTTTGCCGTGCAATATGCTTTTTGCTATCCGCCGTTTTCTCTCTACCTTCGAAAATATAGTTTAACATGTGACTATCCCTGAACGAATCAAATTAGTTAAAATATACGAATTAATAATATTAATTAATATTAATTGATTATGGTTATCTTCTTATATCTATTTAAAACACGTATCAATGTTCTTGATAAATAAGGTTCTTATAAGAGAACTAAAAGTGATAGAGGAATTGTATTTATTCGGCGGACTCGTCTTATGTTGATTGAAGGGTACTATACAAATCGGAGGCATTTAGCATGACACAAAATGGCTTTGGTCATTATTTTTTTCTGTTTCGATCCAAGGTACATTTTAGCAATTATAAGCAGTTTACACTTTCAATTTTGTTTCAAAGTTGAATGAGATTTTTGACCTATTTGTGGCCAGATGGAGCATTATAACCATCCATCAAACTTTACCGCAATGTTGAATTGACAATTGTTCACATGAGATATATGAGAGTTTGACTACTTTCAGTCCACTTTAACATAATTACTCCTTGCGAAACCTTGTCCCCTGAGACCATGTGCACTAAAAAATTCGTAGTTGGTAGGATTATAGGTGACTATTAAAATATATCGTTTCTTCCTTACCTCCCACAGGTAAGGATCTGGATAGGGTTTACATAATGGAGAATAGTAAACCCTCAGAAAAAAAATGAATAGAGCAAAAGAGCAAAAACTATAAAGAATAGAGAATTTTATTAGGAGGCATAAATAATAAAAGAATAACTGTCGAAAATAAAAGAATTAGGTAACAAAATACTGATTACAGAAATGAACGATGTACAGAATAAAGAAATCATCTAATAACAGTAAAATCATTTGCATGAGAATTTTACAGAATAATCGCTATTTTTAGATTAAGGTAGATGGGGGCCTACTTTAAATTCCATAGAATCTTTTAATAATTTGTCAAAATGTAGTTTATATCATGCCTTTTTCAAAAATATAATAAAAAGTGTGGGTCACCGGGCTTTTTTTCACATTACAGGTTGTGCAAAATTGTCGGATTTTGTATAGATTATGCATGGAAAACCCAATTTTGTGTTATTTGAAGAAAACTGCACCAAAGAATTTTAAGATAAGATATGAAAAGATCGCTCTAACAATATGCTTTCAGATAAAAAAAGAGAAAAAAATGGGGTAACCGGAATCGTTTTCTTGCTGCAAAATAAAATAGGGAAATTCATAACACATTCTATAATAAAAGTTACTTTATCTGAGTTATCTCCCCGTATGTGGCAAAGTTGAAAAAAAAATTAATCAAACAAAAATATTCTGATTTTTGTAAAATACAGCCATAAAATATGATAAAAACACATAATTTTCTATATTTACCTGAAAAGTAGTACACATGAATTACATACTAATCTTGGAATTCGCACATATCATTAATGATCTAGACCCATTGTTATCTGCTATTTCAAAATCCAGGATGCAGGAAGACACCCGAGCCACCTTAAGTTAAAGAAAAATGCCCTGAAAATTTCAAGAATACAGAAATTAAGGACCTGCCTCATAGATGGTAGGATTACTTTTCATCTTGTCTATAGGTGATTTACCGCCATATGATTAGACGATGTTAGCATGAGTAATAGGACTTTGACTACTTAACTGCCACGAGTAGAATAAAACATAATGTCGCCGTGTGAAAGCTACTGCACTGAAACCGTAGTTGGCCTTATTTTTTATTGTTTTTATCCGACAGTTTTTGCCTATTGTAATATAATGACTCTCTGGGGCCCTTTGTATTGCTTCTAACTTCAAAAAAGTGTTGATAGTTTGGACACCATTGAATGTAACTTCACAGGACAATCTAAGCAGTCTCTTAATACTCGAAATGCCCAGATTACCATGGAAACATCAACAAGAAAGGGGTAAATACAAAAGATATAAACTTGGTTTATAAAGTAATGTTTTCAGCCGTACGGCTTTTCCCCTATATTCTCTGCATGGTAGAAGTAGAACATTTTGGTATCGTGTAGCAACCTTTCTTGTTTCAATTTATTTTCTTTCACAACAACCTTTCTTATACAGGTATAGACAATGGCATCGAATGATGTTAAGAAAATAGCCGTAGTTGGAGCAGGCTTGACTGGTTTGGCAGCTTTACGACGACTCTCCGAAAATAAAAGTTTCGAGTTGACATGCTTTGAGAGGAATTATGACATTGGAGGGCTATGGCATTACACGGACCAGACATTAAATGATGATTATGGAAATCCAATTCATACAGCTATGTATAGCAATCTTAAGTAAGTTAAAGTAACATTTTTTTTTCTATACACAAATCATTCCTTGTTTTGTTTTCCTTGTTTTTTGTTTTTTTTTATTACTGGAATTAATTTGAATTCTTTGATTTTTTAATCTATGTCTTGCCGTCCTCTTTCATTGATTAGTTATTTGACATTTTCCTAAAAGGAATTATACGTTTAATTTGGTTTTTTTTTTTATCTATTTTCGCTCTCTGTTAGTTGTTGATAATTATTTTGTTCATTGTTGCGGGGTTTTTTTCTGCGTGGGACGGGGATCGATCCGGATCTGAATACTAGTATATGCATTCATATATAAAGTATCAATCATGGTAATCTAAGTAATAATATATAAGTTGCCACTCCTCCAGACAGATTGTGTTTTTTTTGTGATTTTCTGAATAACTTTTGTCGTTTCATTGGTCAAGATAAAAAGCAGGGAGTGTTTAAGTTCTTATAATTAAAACATTGACTAACATACCAAAACAACTAATGGACATTCCCTAGGTTTTTGATAAAGAATGTCTATCGTAGTGTTGTCACATATCCATATAGTTCCTATTTTAAACATTATTATTCCAGGACGAACATACCAAAACAACTGATGGAAATTGAGGGTTTCCCAATGGATGGCTATCCATCTTTTCCAAGTCGAACGGATATCTTAGCATATCTCAACAAAGTTGTAGATCATTGCGGTATTCGAAAATACATTAAGGTAAATAAATTGTAAATTCTAAAAATAAAAGCAGTGTAAATTTAAAATTTTATAATGTGAAAAATGTTATAACATAAACGGTACCATATTTTCTGCACCAGACGCGCATTTCGACAATCAATGTCTCTTCATTGATGCTACAGGCAAAAATATTTGAAAATCCAAAGCTTATTCTTCATTTTATATATTACAAGCATCATGCAGTGCGATGATGAATTAATGAGAAATAATAGTCCAAAGTTCGAAAACTTTTAATTTGTGTTTTGTCCCGCGTAACATTTTGCATGATGCTGTTCGACATAAAACGAATGTAGCGGATTCTTTTTTCTTTAAAATTTCTTATTTGGTTTCCTCGTTCATGGACGTCATACCACCTTTATAACGCAATGTTTGCTTTCCATTCAAAAACGGCTGGATTCGAAACATATGGGAATCAGATGACGCATGAAGTGTGTCCCGTATCAGTTAATGTTGTGAAATTTAACGTTATATCATATTTAAAGATAAAATTGCTATTCAGAAAATTATCGCAAGTATGATGTATTTAAAACAAAACAATGTACATTTACTGTTACAGTCCTTTTTCTCACTATAAAAATTCAAACGAAACTCGTGTCACGAAATTTGTAAGAAAAATATATAGATGTCCAAAAAATTGTCCCTTCACACAACATGTACGTTGATGCATTACATGCAAACATGCCGCAAATACGGACCCAATGTTCCCCCGGACTCTTTTTTAACGTTTTGAACGTCGAGACATGTGAATACTATTATACTATAGTATACATAACGCACCGGCGTAAATACAAATAAAGGACTTACAAAAAACTTCCTAAGTTCCGGAAAATTAAAACAACGACTCCACTTGTAAGACCAATTTCATGTTTTACATGACTTTTTGTGATGTTTGTGTCGAAACATCCGCGGGGTGTGCCTAAATCAATTACAGTTTGTATAATTCGTATTCAGACGATGGGAAGGCCGGTTAACAATGAAGCTGATCCGCAAGATGAACAGATAGGAGTAGCAGCTCCATCGTTGAAATCCCGAGTGTCCGTCGGTTCTTTAATTTCCGTGTTTACTGAAGAGTTTGCCTTGAATGCAAACTTGTAACAAGTAAAAATGCCATGATACCTGCTGCATCTGTTGCTTTTAACTGTTCCAAAAGCAAACAATGACATTCATTTTACAACAATCATAACGTTTTAACACTTTAAAAAGTCCCAATGATTACATGGAGATCATAACTAAAAGCCTGTAAAGAAACTCATTATAATTCAAGTATTATACAATTACCTTCTTAAGAGAGAGAAACGTAAACAAATGTTCTCCAGAAAATCTAAATCTGTTCTTACGTTACTAAAAAAATAAAACGGTGTAAGCGTACTATGGTAAGTGACACCAGTATCTTGCGTTGTCTCCGAACAAATAGTTGCATTTGAAACAACTTCACATTTAATCTTAGATGAGTTATGTGAAAAGCGAAAACATTTTCTAAAGTAGAGTGGAAACAAGAGTTTTCTCCCCTTGGTTCTTCTATAGTCGCAAGTGATCACTGATATATGGTATTCTTTTTTCAAAGTTTAACATGGACATAAAACAAGTCAAACCGGTTAATCCAAACTCAAGAGACACCAAATGGTTGCTGACTTACGGTGATATCAGAAAGAAGAACGATATTCATACGGAACAGTTTGATGATGTTATTGTATGCAGTGGGTAAGTTTTTATGACAATGTTTTTTAAGTTGAGGGTAATAGTAAGATTGTGGGTATGTTTTCGAAGACTATGTTATGGTAAGTTGGTGGTATTGGTAAGATTGCCTGCAGTTGGTTTAAATTGTATACAATTGTGTTTACATTTTTGTTTATGCATCTGTTATGTATCTTTCAGTTAATCGCAATATAAAAACAGGGTAACATATTTTTCTGATGTTTTCTTCTATGGCAACCATTGCTATGGAAATGTGATCTAAATACACTTTTGTAAATGCCAATTTTCTCTCATTTCATTAAAAGTTTAAGTAACACAGTTTACAGACAAACTAAATGTTTGTTCATTATAAAGAAGACCTTTAGAATAAATCAGCATATTACATATTTTTTTTCTATTGAACATTTACAATGATTATGAAAACATTAACTGCTGATAACATCATATCGTTAATTTTAGTATATGTGTGACATATTATGTTGCTACACTCTTATTTGTTACATGTGCTGAAATTTTTCTGTAGAAATTGCACAACCCCAAGTTATCCGACCATTGATGGAGAACAGAATTTCGAAGGCTTTGTGCTTCACAGTATACGGTACAGACACCCAGAATGTTTTGCTGGGCAGACAGTTGCCGTTTTGGGAGCACGTTACTCTGGAATAGATATCAGTTTTGATCTTTCCAAGTGTGCTAAAAAGGTATTTTATATAAGAAAATCTTTGTAAATTTCGTTTTATTATAAACGATTACCACATGCAGCATTATTAAATTGTTGATGTTTTGAAGAAAAGAAGCTACATGTTTTATCGTAGCTAACCACAAAAAGAAGCAAGGCTTAGCGTCTAAACGTTTATTAGATTGTAAAATATAAATGGTATTTAAGTAGTAAGTAGAGGTACATGTGAGAACCGGGTAGACAGACGTTACAATGAAAAACCAATGTTGGCAAATTAACCAAATAGCATATGCTGCATTTGTGCATACGTGATTTGATTATGAAAATAAAGTACTGTTTTTTGTCCTAAGTGATAATTTTTAAATTCCTCTTGTAAGCCCCTGAGGTTGTTCAGATAAAAAAAGGGCACATTTTCACACATTTATATTTATTTTTTCAGTTAATATTAATAGCAATATGAAAACAGATAAACATATTTTCTAGGATATGTTCTTGTATATAAACCGTTGCTATAGAATTGTGGTCAAAATACAGTTTTTACACATATGTCCTTACATTTCATTAACATTTTCACACTTGCAGCAACAGCGTTAACACACTTATCTTCCTTTAAACATTATAATGGAGACCTATAATCGAATAAATGACAGCCAAAAGACGTTGGAATTTTTGACCTGCATCAGCTTAGTGCATTATTTCGGTTTCTTACAAAGCTAAACCAGGATGTAGGTCTATAAAAAAGTTAAAAAAATACATAATGGTTTAGGCAGTCTCAATATCATATATATTCAAGTGTTTTGATCTCTTGCACTTTGTGGGATATAATTTGATACACACAACTGACTTACATGCAAAATGTAACAAATATAGATGTTTAATAAGTTAAAAAAACATATTGTCTCCTTCGGTTGAATCAAGAAATCAGCTATGGGCCTGTGATAATGTCTACAATTTCGTTTTATATATTGCAATTGTTAACAACAAAAAATAGAAGATACCAAGTTGAAGTAAAAAAACCAAAAGTCGAACAAAATATGAAACACAAAAAGATAAATGACGAAATGACAATCAATAGATCACACAATACCACAAAAAAAAAAACATTAGATTGGGCAACACCAAGACCCCTAAAAACTAACAGATGAACGCAGGTATTCTGGTAGGTAAAACAGATCCTGTATGAAGTAGTTAGTAATTTTGGTAATGCCAGGCGATTACATATGATCATATGGTACAAAAATGTGGTGGTATAGAAATACAAAAAGGCTTCTCTAAGGAATTAGCTACCTTTACATCTCACTTCCGGTAATAGGACCTTTACCGACGAGAGTCTTTGGTTGTAAAGGACAAGGCCACATCATATCAAAATTGTCTAAAAATATCTGATACGTATGTTTTAACATGATTGATTTAATGTACTTTCATAGGTGTATTTGTGTCACAGAGGTCCAAAGTTAGAAACACGCTTGCCAGAAAATATTGTCCAGAAGACGTCCGGTTTTCAAAGATACACACCATTCTCTGTAGTTCTTGACAACGGCGAAGAACTGCCAGTTGACACAGTGATATATGCCACTGGGTACAAATACAACTTTTCCTTCCTACCAGAAGGATTACTTAAAATTGGCAAAGGTAATCTCATCTGCAACCTATTTAAGTATATTCTCCCAGCAAACTATTCTACGCTTTTCTTCATGGGAATCGTACGAGAAGTAGGATTCTTTCCTTCAAGCGATCATCAAGCTTTATTCATACGAGCTGTATTGGAAGGTTCTGCTAAACTACCAGATCAGGAAGAAATGAAAAGAATTATCTCGAAGGATTCCGAACGTGTGATACGCGGAGATAACCAGTGGGAATGGGATAAGGAACTATCAGATATTGCAGGTAGTTTCAATCCACTGCCGCTTGTAATGAAGAAAATCTGGAATTACCATTTTGATATTTGGGGACAAGATTTTGCCAAATGTAGATCATTGGTTTACAAGACAACAGGCCCGGATTCTTTTGTTTTAATCTGAATAAACTCAACTGTTTCCGAATTATCGTTGATAATTAGACTTCCAATTTGAACGTCTTGTTAATATCATACCTTACTCAGTCCTCCATTCGTCCCCTTTTGTTTTATATTCATTCCTCCCACTCAGATAGACTAAATGACATGTTCATGCGCCATTGTTAGATTTAATGTTTCATTTACCGTATCATGGTATGTTTAATAATAAAAGAAGCAGACACTAATCTAAAAAAAAAATGAAGTTAAAACAAACAACATCTAGAGGTCAATATACTGACAGGAGTTATACAGCATGTCAAGCTCTGAATCGCTTCGAGACTTGAGAAGTGGTGAACAGATTTATTAGAAACTACAAGATATGGATTGTTGCTACATAGAAATGGAAAGTTCGCAAGCTGAAACATGCTCACAGTGTTTGTTTCCTATAAATAAAAAATGATAAAATATTCTAGAGTATACAAACCATATAGACCTCAACAAAAGAGCCACCATAGTCTCAGGGTATCTTATGAGGCTCTAACCTTTTTTCAGTGACAAAATCTGGGAAGTTGAAACGAGGACAAACTGTTAATCTTAGATTGTCCATTCCTTACAACATGCTACTGTTGGAGAGGTATCCTCTTGGACTCATAGCCTGCTGCAAAGAGACAGACGAACCTTGTATACTTGCAAACACAAATCTAAAGCTTTCAATACAATTACCATTTAAGAGCAATTACATGGAATAAAAAGATAATTACAAAAACCAATACCCACACTTTTGTCAGAATAGTCAGTAAATGTTATTATATTCATTTCGTTACTTTCGGTCGAGTTGGAAATAAACAGTTGAATAAAAAAAATATTTTTTGGCATTTGAACATTAGAGGCCATACACATTTTAGACTCATCCCATCGCCATTTTGACTTCCATAAAGCTGGTTGCGCATTTGGGTCCGATTCAGTCTTTCATCAAAGTTCTTGATATTTGTGGACAGTAGCTAAAGTCACATACTATAGTATTTATCTGGTGCAGAAAGTTGTATTGTTTGTCTCGGGAAAGGTTTTACGCTTATGTTACGATCGCTCGATTGGTTTAACTGTCTATCTCAGGGAATACCAGCTACAAACAAACAATGTTTTTTACGGGCATGATTATTATGGTAGAGTCTTGTTTTACATATTTGCCATGAATAATATATACTATACATGTATACATTAATAAGCAAAGTGAACGTTGGATATGCTGTTGCTAAATCAACACTATTTACCCTACATTGCACTTAACAAATACAGTCAGTTTCAAAATGTCTATCATAAATTTTGGTATACAACGTTTCGTTGTAATCTCAACAGATCAAGAACTTCTCAATCCATATTTTGGGATTTAAAGTAAAAGTTAAACTGAAGGAAATACAAAATGTTTAAAAACTTCGAATCAGTGTAGTACATTTGAAAATAGTATCGCTGTTTTCGCGAGTCCACAGTAAATAATTGAAAATTGATGGGAATTCTAGACGTTATCAGTATAAATTAGGACTTAAAAACCCGGACTTTGCCGTTGAAGAACATTTTGTTAGACTTATTTTAATTTAACATTTTTTTTTTTTAAATATTTTGCATTTAGGGACCACCGTGATAAAGTTTGTCTCAGTGAGAACATCAAACATGGCACTAAGAATATGAGAATATTAAAGTCTTTGCAATCAACACAAAAATCCACAAATGATCACTAACGCAGAGATATTGCAAAAGACAACCACGGTCCCGGAATAATCATATGGAAATGTCAAAGGGTCGAAATATTTTGTTTCAACGTTTGTGTTATTCGTTTCTATTGGTTGCAAAATATATTCAAATGTTGCCATGATTAGTAAAATTACATGTTCTGAGTCATCTATGTGCTTTCAGATTAATTTTGATTAAAAAAAATGTTGGAATAATGAAAAACTTATTAACCAGGAAAAGGAAACCTATAAATGAATGATTTGCATATATAGCATAAATCATTTCCGAGTGGGTGAAGGATGTTAGGTTGTTGATCAAAATTGGGATTACAAGACTGTATGGGTTTTAACACACGTGTTACATCTATATTCAAAAATACTCTATGACAAATATATAACGTCCTCGCTGACACAGACTCAAACATAATCGATTGTGCTTGTAAATCACATTATATTTACTGCTTGATAAAGGAATTTATGTTGACAATTTACTTCATAATAAAAAAAAAAAATTCTTGCGACACTTACAAAGGAGGAAATACTAGAATATTAAAGATGAGTTTATTTTCCTTCTACCACAAATGAAGATCTGGTTCTTCATTCACTCTACTTGATACGCAACTTAAAGTGTTCTTACAAATAACGTTATATTGCCGGGTCTGCAAAATGAAAGTACAAAGCATACTTTGTAAAACAACACTATGATTCCAGCAGAAAGTTAACTGAAACAGCTGACATCTGCAAACTGCTGTTTTTTTTTATTGACAACATATATCTTAAATATCGAAGATACATTTTCGAACAAACAGTCGGCAGTGATACGGGAACCTGCTGTGCCCTTCTGAATGCTGACTTGTACCTTTGTTGTTATGAGGCATACTTGATATAAAGATTCTTCTCGAAAATTAAGGAAATAAGCTGGCGTTGTTTATTAATTTCATTTTTAGTTATACATATATATATGATGTTTTTTTACTAAAAAAAAACAAAATATGGCGACAATGTTGACTGCGTCTATTCCAATGAACAAAAAGAAACAAGGTTTTCACAGATATAGTTAAGTCTATCCCATATTTCGACTTACATATAAAAACTGACAATGTCCATAATTCATTAAAAGACATTTAATTTGTTCTTATTATTGACTGTATAGAAACATGAAGAACTCGTAAATCAAGTTCATAAGCGTTACAAGTAATCAAGATTGTAGCTTTTTTTTTAAAGATAAGTATAAAACATAAAGAATATCTTAAAAATTGACCACAAAACTAATTACCATGCTAGCGCCTGATGCATGCGTATAAATTTTCGCATCAAACATTACATGCATTACTAGTACAAATGACTTTTGAATACGATTAAGGGTCATGCTTTAAAAAAAAGGTTGAGATTTGATATACTTTTCAAAAGGGGGGTTATAAAGTAAGAAAAAAAGTATAACAAACATACCGAACTGTAAAGCCAATTAAAAAGTCCATAACAATAGACAAAATCAAACTTTTTCAATCAAGATCCATTGAAGTCTTTAAGATATTAACCAAAATCAAAGAGTCAGTTATGCAGGACAAAATTCGAAAGTCTAGATTGATTCATATAATTCTTGTCTTTAGATACTACATAAGATGTTAAGTATGGCCAATGAAAATGCATAAGGTAAAAAAAAAAGAAAAAGAATTTGAACAGATACTTCAATATTATGTCAGTGTTTGCACCTTTTCAGATTTTTTTAAAGAACACGAGATACTGATTTAATTCAGATTTCAATCGTTTTATTTTCTTTGAAAGCTCGTGCATAGCCAGGAGACAACAATTAAGTCATCATAGTTACAATGTAACAGGTTTAAATTTGTACGCCAGACGTGCGTTTCGTCTTCAAAAGACTCATCAGTGACACAATTTTAGAGAAGTCTTTTATAACCAATGGATCAATGCCACTGCCGTCGGACGTTTCATTCCAAATGTTACCACCAGTTCAGTAGTCAGAACATAAATGTTTGTTTTGGTTTTGGATTTTAAAACATGTTGGCCTCGAATATGCCTGAAAAGATATTTTTCAATGAAATGCGCATTTCGTGCATTAAAATTGGAACTCTTAATGCTTTTTCTGTTGATAGAAGGTATCATTGATATAATACTTATTTGTTAATTTACGGTTCATACAATTTTTAATTAATCGAAATATTAAGGTTTTTCTGCCCCAGACGTACATACCACGTGAAAGGATCTTTGAAATAGTTTTTATTGGTACTAACATTGATTTTGTATTAATGAACACAACTGAATGTGTATTGTTATAGAATCATGAAAAGGTATAGACCTGTATCCTGTTGATAGTATGTATATTGATCTTGTACAAGGTCATTCCTTCTTATTATTCCTCATGTATATGACGTACATACGCGTGTTTGGCAAACATTTCAGAGTTGTTGGATTTCTACTTTTCATCCTCTTATATGATTTTACCCTCTAGTTGTTTCGATTCGAACTCAACTGATGGGTCTTGTGTAGACGAAATGCGTGTCTGGCGTAGCTAATTATAAGCCTGGTATATTTGATCAGTTTTACACTTAATCAATTTTGTTGTGTATTGAATGATATTCGGTATGGGAGAAAATGATTGAATTATAATAAGGTATTGGCTTTAAACTAGCTTTCAGTAACTATGAGTGCTCAAAGCAATAGTTTCTGCATTTTCACCTGCTGTTTTGTGTTCAGTTGTTCTTATATTGTGCTGTTACATTACTATCTTAGATTAAGTGAGGACTTTACAGTCGTTAACATCACCACCTCCGTCATAGTATATTATATAAAAAACACATAGCTGAGGGGGTGATAGAGCAGATTGTTACCTCGGTTTGTCGAGGGGTACCAATCTGTTCTATCACCCTCTCAGCTATGTGTGATTTAATTTATTATACTGAATGTCCTATCATTATTGTATTTTAATGCTGAATTTTAAATTAAAAGTATTTTGCTATGACGTCACGTACATTACAACGTTTCAAATATTAGAAAAATCAACAGAATTTAAGCAAGATGGGTTTTTTTTTTTTATTTTGACAGTCTTTAAAAAAAGTTCTGAGCCAAAACCTAGAACCTGAGCATTGTCTTTAATAATTTGATGTAAATTCAATTGAAATTTTAAATTATCAATTTTTGATTGGTCTGTACGAGAGATTCAAAAAAATAGAGTAAATTGTCATCCTCGTATTAGCCAATCAAAATCTGGCATTTTAACGTGAAGTATAATAAATGTATCTATACCACGTTAAAAGTCAGTAATTCCGCGGTTGTCGGTGGTTACTTTTAGTTAGATTTGTTATTCGATTATTGTTTTTCATAAATCAGACCGTTGTTTTTTGTTATGCTCTTTCAATTTGACATTTCGTTATGTAGGAACTTGTATAGCTAACTATACGGTATTGGTTCTATTCATCGTTGAATAACGTATGGTTGTCATTATTTGTGCTCTGGTGAATAATTGGCACATTGGAAGTTACACCAGATCCAATTCTATAAAGAACAGTTTCTGTGTGAGACGACTCTGATAGTTTTGAAGAAGGTTAGAACTTATTCGAACTGTATTGATGAATGTGTATTAAATGACATGGACTTATTCTTGATTAACATGAACATGTACTTTAAACGTAATGTAAGACGGGTACATCGTTTTCTAATGTATCATAGGCAGAGATATGACACCAAATACAACAAGGTCGTATATTTGTGAAATGCATGTAATATTTGGTTAATTAGCACGTATAAAAGTTATATTACAAAAATACTGAACTACGAGGAAAATTTAAAACGGAAAGTTCCTAATTAAATGGCAAAACCAAAAGCACAAACACATCAAACGAATGGAAAACATCTGTCATATTCCTGACTTGGTACAGGCATTTTCTTATGTAGAAAATGGTGGAATGAACCTGGTTATATAGCGCTAAACCTCTCACTTGTATGACAGTCGCATCAAATTCCATTATATTGACAACGATGCGTGAATAAAACAAAGAGACATAGTAGGTAAAAATGTCAAAATAGGGATACAGCAGTCAACACAGGTGTCACAATCTTAATCACAACAAAAACAAACA